AAAGTGAACTTCAAGTTGGTTCGTTGATTCAAGATGTTCAAGAGAGGTCTTCAAAGGAGACGGTCACGTGGGTACATGGAGTTAGACCCGACTCCTTAGCAAAGGGCTAATTTACGCAACCACAAGGCCGTCCTCTAAGCTCTCTTATTGGTATCATGTTATGAACGTGAGGGCGGGAGGTTGAGGATTTAGGGCGGACGAATGGGGCTCCCTGCGCGCGGCGGGAACAGCTGTTGGGCGTGAAAGAAGCCGCAAAAATAACGACTCTGCAATAGACCTCTAAAAATGGTGACTCTTGGCTGGTGATCTTGCGAGGCTGTGAGAAGCGATAACTGATCTGATTTGAGTGGAAAGGCTGGGTCCGGAAAGTCCACCCTGATGAAATACATTGGACCAGGACAAGCGCCCTTTAGAATATTTGGAGCAGTGGGCATCGCCCCTTAACATTGTGTTTGCAAGCTTCTACTTCTGGAATCCAGGAACACCCCATAAAATTAAAATACTCGCTGCGGCCTGCCCGTGGCTTTTATTTCAGGATGCGTTCCGGGAGTGTCCGAGGCTACACCGAATTCCAAACACACGCTTGGAGCCTCTTTAACCCCCTCCCTCATCGACAAGCATCGAAGCATACGTGCAGCCCTCGTATACCTTCAGAAGCTATCGCCATATGAATTGGTAATACCTTTTATCGCCTCCCGCGTATAGCCCATTAAAATTCAACCATTTGCTAATTTAGAATGACCATTGCTAGATTTTGAAGGAGGGCAGGAATGCTTTGATATACGCAATCGCAGATAGATGTTGCTGTCCCCGCGACAGAGAGAACCGCAAATCGATTCTAGGTTGGATTAAATCTTTGCATTAGGGATTTCTTCTTGTGTTACAGCTCGTCCCCGAAAAGCTTTTGAAAAAAAAAAAGGAAATATTCTTTCTTGATGGCTGGTCGGTGGATTGCACTACTTGGAATTGGATAGAGTTGTGGGCAATGCCATCTTGTCACCCATATAGATTTTTCTTATATATTCCCTTTTGTCAGAGACCCTTGTCTTTTTATTTTTTCTTTTGCAAAGCTCCGGGTGGAAGGGTTAGCCTTCCCGGCCGTTTCTCTGTACTTCTTCCCTTACGGTTTCTATTGCTACAAATTCTTGGGCCATTCTTCGGCCCTTGGTCTATCAGACATTGATCATTTATGATATCCTTCCGTCTCTTGTATGTATTTTCTGATACCACATTTTTATATATGGATCTGGTGTACCCCTTTTCAAAACTCTTTTCTTTCCTCCCCATATTTATCACGACATATTCCCCCTGTTCTCCATCAGGGATGACCCCACAACCCTGATATCCTGACACTGAATACATACTCCTGACTCCTGAAGAGATAGGCAGGCTGCTATCTTGATATCCATCCCCCAGCGGAACAAAACCCACTCCGCGCTGCATATTGCTCCCAGACGTATGACGTGTCTCCGCTACTCAACGCGGCTAGCGTGGCCATTCACTCTTCCCCCTTTATTAACCTCTCCTCCTCCTCCTCCTCCTCCTCCTCCTCCTCCTCTTCTTCTTCCTTCTCTCCACCTTGTCAACCTCCTCTCGCCATCAGCATCGCCTCCAGGTTCGACCGTCCACATACCCATCTTCCATCCATCGATCAGGTAGGCATACGTTAAACATCCAGTCACTCCTCTCCTGAGAATTTCAATCTAGGCTGTCCAAAAGGCAAGCCAGTGTCATCTACATTCCCCAAAACTCCCTGTAAGGCGCGTCACGTCCGCTCTCTTCGCCACACGAATCCCAACAAGCGCCATGAAGGCCCTCATCGCCATTGCTGGCCTCTTCTTGGCCGTCACAGCAATGTGTCAAGACTTGAGTCCGGTCTTTAACCTTTCCCCATGCCCCGTAAGTCTCCTGTCGGCCTGTAGTGCTGGCTTCTCCCCCCTTATTAACATTGCGACCTCCATTTTTAACATTACTAACTATTCTTCAGAGATCTTGCGCAATGGAAACCTCCGGAAGGGCCAAGGAATTTGGCTGTTCCCCTGGTGATATTGCCTGCCTTTGCAAGAACAAGGAGTACCAGCCCGCACTCATGGAATGTGCAAAAAAATGCAAGCCTGAGGAAATCGAGGCCTTGGCTAAAGCTGGCCGCGAGGTTTGTGACAGTGCAGGTGCGTGCCAGTCGGAAACTACCGCCCTCTTTTTGTTTCTTCTCTTACTCAACGTTCACGGCCAATTCGATTTCTGGCATTCCAGGCGTCTCTATTCCTCCCGCGACTGGCGCAGATATTACCATTCCCGTTCCCACGGTGCAATTGCCATCTGCTCCTGTCCCTGAACTCCCCTCGGTTACCGTCCCCCCTTTGCCTGAATTACCAACTGGTTTACCCCTTCCTTCTCTCCCATCAGTTCCAAACCTACCTCCCAATGCTGGAGTTGAAGGTACTACTACAACTTCCGCTCCTAGCTCCATGCCCATTCTCCCTATCGAATCGAGCGACACCACCTCTCAAAATCCGGCCTTGACTCCTTCGGCCTCAGGCCCCAGCAGTAGCATCGATCCATCCCTTGGGGCCGCCAACCTCCTATCACCCGTACATAATGGTGTCATCTACATCGTTCTCCTTGCCCTGGCCTTTTAAATTTCCCACCAGCTCGACAAGAATGCCGATGTACCTACATTTCAGCAAAACTACCTCACAGCCATTTCCCATTTCCCATGTTTGATGATTTTCACTTTTCCATGATTCCGGTCTCTTTATCGTCATCTTCTAATTTGCCTAGACCTTCTGCTTTCCCCGCTTCCTCGTCAATCTTTTTACCTTGGGGAATACGAAATAACAGGCGCCCGAATATATGACATAAGGACTATATGTACTGCAAAACTTTGCTTTTAATTGCTGATGATCTCAAATGGCTTTGAACTTCGTCCATGTATATTTTACCAAACCCACACTGAGTACCGCTCACACAGGTACAACCCAAATTCTATAGCGCACCACGAATATAAATTAGTTATACCTTGCGCAAAAAATTGAAGTTGCAGCTCTTTCAGAATCGTCCATTCAGTAGTTTACCCTCGCCAAATCTATCTCTTATTTGGTAACTCTGCTCCCTCCTTTCGCTTTCGCTTTAACTGAGGCTCAAGCCTCGAACGGCATGGGCTCCTCCTCAATTCCCTGGGCCAGAAAACAGAAGCCCCACACTCTCGAAAATGGGCGTACCATTTTTTTCTACTTCTCACATCGCATCCATATAATACCATTCACAGAGTCTCTCTTTTTTATCCGCCTAAAAAAATAAAAATCAAAAAAAAAAAAAAAAAAAAATTTAAAATTAAAAATAAAAATAAAAATAAAAATAAAACAGACCGTGATCCCTGTAATAATACTGTGCTATGCGTTCGGCCATTTCGAATGATCAAAAAAAAAAAGCTAACTTGTTAAATCGACGATAGGATAATGTAATATGGAAATTGCTGGCTTCCACTATCCTTGCATCAGGTACGGAGTACCTAGGTAGGAATCGCGATATCACGTGACACACATCCGCCAGACGCGTCTCGGCAAACAGCACGCATCCTGGAGTGGAGCCGCGCAAAGCGAAATCCCAGGCCGCAGCTTTGGAGCCTTGAAGGAAGCCTCCGCTACACAACCACAACATCACACCAAGCATGATCCAGCAGATAAATACCCTTTGATCGCTGCCTCTCCAACTCCGTCTTTTTCTTCTTCTTTTTCTTCTTCTTCTTCTTCTTCTTCTTTTCCCAATTTCCTTATCCCCCTCGAAGCGTGCTCAATTGCTTGTCCAGATCCGCGAACCACTCCCCGATCCGGTGATGTAAATGGAACGAAAAAAGCAGATGTTCTATAAATAAAAGAAGCACTCATATCGTCCCGTCATACTGCGCCGGAGGTGCCAGAAAAGACGAATTAAGGGGAACACATATATTTATGCGCCATCTTCCCCACCCCTCCTCGTGGCCCAGAATCAAACTTCTTGTTTCCGACCCTTTGCCGCATATTCCCATCCCACCACCGTGCTCCCGGATCCAACTACCAAACTGGCGCGAGTGCCGCCGTAATTCTAGCACACTGCCCTATAAAGAAGAAAATAAGCCGTTCCGTCTACGTGATTGTGTAGCTGGTATCTATCGGCCACGGATTGGAAGGGGCAACTCCTCCTATTTTGTTTCTGTGTCTCTGCGGAATAGGTGCTTGATAGCGGCTCCGTATAGTTCATTGCTGCCATTGATTCGACGAGGAGGAAAGGCGATGGCGCAGAAGGGAGGTGGCGGTGCGAAACAGGCTACTTTGGGGTACGTTCGAGATCCCCAGTTGAGTATTGGGTGCGTTTGGCTGTGTTTGTGCCAGGGTTGGTGTATTGGTTGGTGGTTTGCTTTTGTGTTTTGTTGATTTTTACGGAGGGACTACTATTCCCTTAAGGGCAATGAATGTTGTTTTGCCCATCCATCTTGCTGTTTGACAACTCAACTCTTCCCGTGTTTGCTTGCTAATCTGTATATATTCCCCTGTTTTTGCAGGAAGTTCTTCGGTGCCAACGCAGGTTCTGCGTCGCTCCCCAAGAAACAGGCTACTTTAGCATTCTCAACTAGCTCAGGGAGCAGAGAGAAGCGACAAAATGGATCTGCAACGCAGGCGGATGAGGAAGAGGCGCTAGTAAATGGAGATAAGGATGTCGATATGAATAATGATGCGAAGAAAAAGGAACCAAAGATTGACAGCAGGGGGAGCGAAACTCCTGCTGCCGAATCCAGGGAATCAGATTCGGATAGTGCAGCTGAAAAATCGCTGAGCCATAGCGACAGTGACTTCCCCGACTCAAAGAAGCTAAAACGGGAGAAAAGTCCCATGGAGGACAGTGACGAATCTGATGTTCAGCCAGTCACGAAAAGACGAAAACGTGCTCCTTCGAATAGAGAGACCGCTGGCAAGAAACCCTCGGCTTCACAGAATCAAAATAAACGGACACGATCTCCGAATAAGGCCAGAGAAAAGCCTGTGGCTGAAGACAAGGAATCCTCGTCCGCTGAACAGGAGGATATCATTTCTGATAACGATGATGATCTGGCAGAGGAGAAGCCGAAAATTGCTCAGAAGAAGAGAGAAACGGTCCAGCAGGCATTGAAGGGATCTAGAGAGGATCCCTATCCAGATTGGAAAGCTGGAGAGCCCGTGCCATACGCGGCGCTCTGCACGACCTTCTCCCTTATTGAAATGACTACTAAGCGATTAATTATATTATCTCACTGCTCCCTATTTCTCCGCCAAGTTCTTCGTCTTACCCCAAAAGACCTTCTCCCAACTGTCCAGCTCATGCTCAACAAATTAGCCGCCGATTATGCTGGCGTCGAACTTGGAATTGGCGAATCATTCATCATGAAAGCCATTGGTGAATCCACCGGCCGCAGCCTGGCAGTTATCAAGGCTGACCAGCATGAAATCGGCGACCTTGGCCTTGTGGCCGCGAAAAGTCGTTCAAATCAGCCAACTATGTTCAAGCCGAAACCATTGACCGTAAGGGGCGTGCACGAAGGTCTTCTTGCAATTGCTAAAACACAGGGTCACGGATCTCAGGAAAAAAAGATTTCCGCTATCAAAAAGCTCCTGTCATCAGCTGATGCTACTCTGGCAGGAAAGGGATCGAAGGGGATTGATATCACACAAAATAAAGGCGGCCCAAGCGAAGCTAAATTTATCATTCGTTTCCTTGAGGGTAAACTACGACTTGGTCTTGCTGAAAAGACCGTGCTCGTGGCGCTGGCGCATGCGATGGTGGCCCATGAGGTTGAGCTGCAGGGGAAAAAGGCACCCAGCACCGAAGAGTTAGGCAAGGGTGAAGCTATTCTTAAATCAGTATATAGGTAGGGAATCTTCCCCCACCCCCACCCCCGCCCCTAACCCTGGCCTTTTGGTTAACCCCTTTTCCCCCTTGTTTATTCAGCGAACTGCCTTCGTATGAAGTCATTATTCCCGCTATGCTCGAACATGGAATCTTCAACCTAAAGGAAAAGTGCAAATTGCAACCAGGAGTGCCCTTAAAACCTATGTTGGGCCAAGCCTACAAAGTCCATCACGGAAGTTCTTGACCGTTTCGAAGTAAAAATTTCACTTGCGAGTACAAGTATGATGCGAAGACACAGATACACTACGTGCCGTGAGAGATGCACAATATCGTCGACGCGTCACTTGCAGAAGATGTGAAGCATCTGTGCCATCTTCTCACGAATTCTGAAGACTTGTCATAGAAATATCCGGATATCTTGGGCAAACTAGAGAACTGGGTTAAGCAGGGGACAACAAGTTTTGTGTTGGACTGCGAGACCGTTGCATGGGATACGGTCAATAAGAAAGTTTTGCCATTTCAGCAGCTCATGACGAGGAAACGGAAGGACGTGAAGGCTGAAGATGTCAAGGTTAAAGTCTGTGTGTTTGCATTTGACCTGTTGTTTTTAAATGGAGAGGTAAGCCGGCTATATAGATACATACGTTTAATTCCTTTTCCTTATCCCCTTTTAAGTTTATCGAACCCCCTATCTAACATATCCCTTTGCAGCCCACTGTGAAAATGACACTGCGAGAACGAAGGGCTCGGTTGCATGACGCGTTCACTCCAATTGAAGGCGAATTTGTATTCGCCCAACACGGCGACACTAACGATCTCGACGAGATCCAGACATTACTTGACGAAAGTGTAAAAGCGTCGTGTGAGGGTTTGATGGTGAAAATGCTTGATACCGAAGAAAGCGGATATGAGCCCAGCAAACGCAGCCGAAACTGGCTCAAGGTATAATACATATAACACTGCATCAGATCGACCACTCATGCCACAATATTTCTCTAATCAATTTAAATTTCCTGTAGGTTAAGAAAGATTACCTCGCCGGCATCGGCGACTCTCTCGACCTCGTCGTTCTGGGCGCCTACTACGGCCGCGGCAAACGCACATCTGTGTACGGCGCGTTCCTCCTAGCCGCCTACAACACCAGCACTCAAACTTTCCAAACAGTCTGCAACATAGGTACCGGATTCTCCGAAGCGCTCCTCGAAGAGCTACACAAGTCCCTATCCCCACTCGTCATCGACTGTCCGAAACCATTTTACGACCATTCTTCCGTCCCCAAGGACCAGCCGGACGTCTGGTTCGAGCCAAAATATGTTTGGGAGGTGAAAGCGGCGGATCTGACGCTTAGTCCGCGTTACAAGGCCGCGGCAGATGAGTTTATGGGGACTAGTCATGGCGCTGGAAAGGGCATTTCGCTGCGATTTCCTAGGTATATTAAAAGCCGGGATGATAAGAAGCCTGAGGAAGCAACAGCAACGAGGCAAGTGGCAGAAATGTATCGGAGGCAGGAGAGTGTGAGTAAGGATACGGCAGGGAAAGGCGGGGTGGATGATGATTTTGAGTACTGAACAGTTGAGTTGGGGCGTATGAAATGGTCGGATGTATGGGGAAGGCAGCTAGTTTTTTGGAGCTGGCTGGTTGAGGTTGCTCCACTTGCACATATACATTCGTTGTTTGGTTCCTTATACCTCGAGTGCTATTGTTCTATTTTCATGGATACCTGTCTTGCTTTCTATATTTTCATATCATCGACACCACTGTCATTGCTGAGGTGGCGATGAAATGGAAAATGAATTACTTAGATATACCTTGATGATGAGATATATAGCACGTCACTCAGTTGGGCACGGTTTATTATTAGGAACATCGCTCTGACACTATCCATCTTCCATATTTACATTTTTGAAACAATCCCATTCGCTAGAGAGACTAGCAGAAGAGAAAAGTGAAAATCACCATAACCGCAGGCACCAAGAACACCTTTCTTAGCATAAAATTAGCAGCATAAAGGTTTCATAAAGGATCAAAACGCCAGAGTACCTGCAACCCTGCAACCCGGAGAACGAAAAGGAACAATAAAAGCACAGAGTAGTAATTATGGAGGTGCATATGCATTTCATCCCAATTCATCGAATTTCCCTCCTTTGCCGCTTGTTCAACCTCTGCTACAACTGTCAACAGCACCATTTTCCACTGTAGCCTCTCGCCCCATCCACTCACTCTTCAAACTTCCTCTTCGCCCCAGTTCCAATCCCATTCATCCCCGACCCCATTGCCCCAGCTCCATCGGGTACCAAACTACCCCTCCTCCTCCTCTCCTCTTCCACAGCCCGATGCTTCGCCATGTCCGCCTCAGCCTGCCTGCGCTTCCATGCAACCTTAATCGCCGGCGCCGCACGGATCAAATCCTCCTCCCCAACGCGATCCTCAATACTCTCCATAACACTCTCGACAGTCGAGATGTGATTTGCGTCCATTTTTATCCTCCTCGCACCGCATGAAGCGCCATCGGTGCTGCTCGTCCTTGTAGCACTCGACAATGGAGTCGTCAGCCGCTCTGCATCGCTTTGAGCGTTTCCCATCCTCCTCCGTGACGTGCATGGTGCCGTAGGGTATGTAGTCATTTGCCCTTCGCACGACGAAGAGGTGGAAGATGGGGATGGCGTCGTAGTCTGGATAGGGCTCCGTGGAGCCGTCACCGTCGGCGTCGGCCGGGTCGGGCTCGACGATGGGGAATTGTAGACGCATGCGAAAATCGACTGTGTTCTCTCCTGGTGGCTTCCATTTGAGAATGTTTTCATCCGTGCCGATTTTATAGGGGGTGCTGCGACAGGTGAAGATGAGCCCGTCATTGCCGTGGACCTTCTTCACCCGGGGTATTATTTCGCGGAACATCATCTCGAGGCCGTAGCTGAATTGCGTTGATTTGTCCTCCACGGCAAACGCGCGATGTTGCTTCTCCGACGGGTATTTCTTGTACATAGTATTATAGGGCTTGAGGACTTTCTCTTTGAAATATGCCAGCCGTTTATCGAGCGTGCGGTGCATCAGACTCGTCCCGTCCAGCACGAGACAATCGAAAACGTAGAATTTCAACTGTGACGAGCCATCTTCATAAGCATCGATAACTAGCTCCCCATCCACAATCGTATCTACATGGAAGCTCTGGAAGGTATCGTCGTCTGGTAGTGGGAAATGTAGGCCAGGCACATATCTGTAGTCATTCTTGCGGTCGATGAGGTAATGGATTTCCGGTGTGTCGGACTCTGGGTCCCCACGGGCAAAATAAAGAAGGCAGCGGATCCCATCCGTCTTCTCACACACGTAGTAATCTGCCTTTTGCAGTTCGAGGATATGTCGTGCAGCGAAACTTACAGGTTGCGCGCCAGGGAACCCTAACGATGTGCGACCCAGAAGATGCGCAACTTCTCTGCGGAATTGGTCTGCCAACTGTGGCTCGGCTTTTATGCCGATTTTGTCGAGATCGGGGACGGTGGGGTTGTTCATGGGTCTCGTTTCTTTGATTGATACGGATGGAGGGGAGGGGTTGTCTGAAGGTCTGCACCGCAAGAGGACTCTTATGGCGGATAGAGTGGTGTGGAAGCAGGGAGTGGGAGCAGGGAGTGAGAGCAGGTGAGCCTCAACGAGTAGCGGCGTATAAGCCACGGAGAATGGGACGGTAAAGAGCGCGGTGGGTGAAAACCGGCTGGAGGCAACTTCTCAGTTGGTGGTTTGGATGCTTTTACCGATGTTGGATGAGTGATGCCTGAGGCGCCGAAAATCTTAAATGCATCCAAACAAAACATCAATATCTCGAATGAAGGAAATAACTATGGCCATATGCCCCAGAATTGAATTACTTTTTTTTGAGTAGGAAAAATAGACACAAGTGTGCAGCGATAATAAATTGGAATTATCAAAATATCTTCAGTTCCATGCACACATAATAGTTGAATCTCACATTAAACATAGACTGTATGAGCAACCGTTTTTACAGGAGAAAATTCGATATACAGTCTTTCGGAAAGTATTAACAGACCAAAATTGCATCGTGTACTATACAAATGTTGGGGTATCATCTCAGATCGCCAAAAATCCCATCCTGTCGCCAAAAACGCCTTGAGCAACCAACCGCATATACATCGTTTCATGCCTAGAAATCCAAGGGAAGCCATCATCATAATAACAAGTAGTAGCAGAACACCATTAAACATATATAGCATCCGAAAAATTAAGCTGCAGTTGCAGCAGTCGAAGTCGTTGCGGCGGTTGTGGCAACCGTTGTAGGTGGTGAGACTGTCGCAGGATTTTTCGCGGCAGCAGCGGCCTGGGAAGCCCGGTTCTGCACTGCCTGCTGAGAAATGGAAGGCTTTCTCGATGTTTCCGCAGATTGCACAGCGGAATTAATGACGCTTGTGGGAGACGATGAAAAGTTGGTAGAGTCTGAGGCGAATAACGTTCTTTCACCCCCAACTTGGCCCTGGCTGCTTGTGTCGCGTGGATGGGAAAAGATCCCTCCCCTGGTGCCCCCAAGAACCTGTGAGAGCATTTCCTTCATGCGCACCAGATGGTATTTTCGTCTGGTTGGAATTAGAGGATGGGTTATCAGCGGCTGAGGATTGGACCGAGCGAGGCCGGCCATCACTGCATCTTTCTCCTCATCCGAGTCGATCGGTCCATTGCCATCTAAATCGTCGTGGATCGGAGCATTCGCATCGATAGCGGCCTCTGCGATGTGTATATTAGCAGCTTGAAAAAAGGGGTGATCCTAACAAAATGTATCAGATGACAGATGCAGAGGTATACTCACTTTGCTGCCGCGCCTGGTTCTTCTTTTGATATGCCTGGAGCAACATATCGTACGGCAACGACCGTCCTGGGACAGCTCGTTTGGAACCCATAGAATGGCTCTTACAAGTTAAAGATCGCGCACACTGGCCGCCGTTGGGGAGGGGAACACCGCACTGCTTTTCCACGTCGACAGGGCCCTTAGGCTTTGGGACTTTGGGTTTGGGTTCGTCTTTCTTTTTCTTCTTCTTCGGCTCCTTCTCCTTATCATCGTCTCCATCAGCTTTGCGCTTTTTTCCTTTCTTCGGCCCATCGTCCCCGCCAGCGCTCTTCTTCGCGCTCTTTTGTCCTTTCATTGCATCGTCATCATCGCCCACACCAATACCAGTCCCGTCATCCTTATCGTCACCGTCCTTCCCCTTATCTTTCCCTAACGCCTTCTCTTTCGCTCTGTTGGCAGCGTCGCGAGCTTCTTTCTTTTTCCGCGCTTTCTCCTGTTTAGCTTTTAGGCAGCCTCGTATGTGCTCTGCCGACGTTTGTTTTAAAACTGGTCGTTTACAGTGTTTGCATATCACTGTTTCCAATTGGGCTTCTCGCAATTTGCCGTTGGGGAACGAGGCCATGATTTTCTCGTCCATTTCGGGGAGGATGGGCGACGAGGAAGCTCGCGATTCAGGGTTTCCGTCTTTCGATTCTACCCGAAGGGACCGCGTGAAACAAAAAAGGTTTTTAGCTAGCCCGGGTTCGTTGCAAATGAAAATTACAGCAAGTATCCATGACACGCGAACGAAATCCCCAATATTATTTCAAGTATATTTTTTCACTCACCAGCTTGTTCCTGGGTCTTTCTTTGCAGCCTTCGCGTTCTTAGCCGCGGACTTTTTGGAAACCTTAAGTTTTCCTAGCCGATTATCCTTATCACTAAACTTGTATCCCGACGCATCGACAAAACTCGCTCCCGAACTTGAAGCGACTGACGATGCTATTTGCGCCGTTAAATGCCAAAAATGGAGGTAGATGGCAACGAAGCATTAGCAACAGTGGTAATTTAGTGCCATCTTCGCTTGAGCGATAACCTAGTATATGATCGGGGACGGGGAATAGCGGGAATCGGAACAGGGCAAGTCGGGAGGGGGAGGGTGATCTCACCTCGGCCTGAAGCGCCGTTTGTCGCCATATTGGGAGTGTTAGACTGAGCTAACTGTTGGCTCGGATGAAGATACAATTATCTCGTGGATTGGGTATGGATTTGTATAGCCAGACAATGCTGTTGGTTTTGGGAAATCGGATGGAAAGATCCATGGATGCGAGAAGCTGGGTCATGTGACCTGGCGCCTTCAACCCAACTTCATCTCAACGGAATCACGACGTGAGATTCTATGGCGAATATCAAGAGGACGGTGATGAATATGTCTGGGAGAGCGTTCGCAAATAATGACAATAAGTTTGTAATATAGTAATACATTTTATTTTACATTTGATCATTGCACTGTTCGGTCAAGGCTAGAACAGGGACAAGCCAATCGGGTCTCTACGCAATCGGACAACTCAGATCAGTATCGCGCAAAACAGAGGGTGCTATTTGTTCCCCCGAAGCCAAAGCTGTTCGTCATGGCCACATTGACCCGTCTCTCCTGCGCCACATTAGGCACGTAGTTGCAGTCAAATTCCTCCGTCGTGTTGTCCAGGTTTATCGTCGGTGGTAAAACATTCTGCACCAGTTAGATTATTAGTAAAGGCATACCACTCCACATATCTGCAACCCTTTCCCTGGGTTTAGCGATCATGTTGTGGCTTACCTCGTGAATAGCTAAAATGGAAAAGACAGCTTCAATAGCCCCGGCCCCCCCCAGCAAATGGCCTATCGCACCCTTCGTGCTGCTGACATTGATATCGGCGGTTTTCTGTTTTCCCTCACTTCCTAGCAGGAGCGTTTTGATCGCAAAGTTTTCCGCTGCATCTCCAATTACTGTCGACGTCCCGTGAGCGTTGATGTAGTCAACCGTCCCCGGAGAGATCTGGGCATTCCTCAGCGCCCTTTTCATGGCTAATAACGCGCCCTCTCCGCTCTCCTTGGGCGCCGTCATGTGGTACGCATCGCCAGAACACCCATAGCCCTTCAGTTCAGCATAGATCTTCGCACCCCGGGATTTAGCATGCTCAAGTTCCTATATGTAAGAAATCAGCCTTGAGAAATTCCATATGAATACAAGTATGAACCGCGACTTGTGTAGACTCAGGACTGTATCGCAACACACCTCCAGGACCACAACTGCTGCACCCTCTCCCACGATAAACCCCTCACGGTCCCTATCAAATGGCCTTGAGGCCTTCCTTGGTGAATCATTGAATGACGTAGCAAGGCTACGACACCTGGAAAACCCACCCAGGACTAATGGGTGGATACACGACTCAGCCCCCCCTGCTATCATTACATCTGCGTCTCCACAGGCGATGAAACGGGATGCGTCGCCGATTGAGTGGGCTCCGGTCGTGCAAGCCGTGGTTGCGGCATGGTTGGGCCCCTGTGTACGATTAGAGCCATATCAGAAACGATGATAATAATGTGAATACGTACTGCAAATCCATATTTCATTGAAATATGCCCTGCACCCAGATTGATAAGGAGCTTAGGGACGAAGAGGGGGGAGATCTTTTTGTAGCCCTAGATGCAAGAATGTAAACATGGGGGAGCCTTTTATACATATCTAGCGGTAATTAAGTATGAAATTGTTTTTACACATACCCCTTTATCATAAACGAGAGAGGTATCGTAAATCTCATCGAAATTGCCAATGCCAGAGCCTAAACATACGCCCTATTGACAAGTTAACCGACCACTTCAGCTAGCATTAGTAGTCGATGACCTTCCTCACCGTCATTTCCTGCTGTTCACGATTAGTAGGCTTCCAGCCGGCATCTTCCAGAGCCTCCTCAGTGGCTGCAAGGGCATATTGCGTAAAATTTGCTGTCTTCCTTTCTGCCTGTAGTGAAGAAACGTCAGTGACATGTTTCGTGCTCTGTGGTATGGAGCCAGAACACACCTCACGACTTAGCCAATCCGATCCTCTCCAGCCACCATCATTCTTCGAACCTTGAGGAACCAGCGCAGCAATCTGGCAGGGTAGATCTGCATACCTGGGACCCCGGTTCTTGACCGAGACGACACCACAGTGACCATCTAAAAGGCGTGTCCATGTTCGTCGTACACCTACAGCGACAGAATCATTCAGGGAACAGAACAACCTATGGAGCAATTTTCAATTTGCTTCGGCTGCGTCCAATGAACACCAAAATTAAACTCCCAAACGTACCGATTCCGAGTGGAGAGACTGCGCCCAATCCGGTGACTACGACCCGGCGCATGGCACCGCTCCTATGGCATGTGTTTGGTGGCGGCGTAAAACGTTTACAGGACGATGTCTTTCATCATTTCGTCAGGAATTGCGTCAGAGAAGGGGGAAGCATACTTAAGCTGATCGGGTTCCGTTGATAGTGTGCAAGGTATGCTTAATGTTTTGGTGCCCTTTTTTTTCAACCAGCTATTTAACCAATTTGGCCCGTTGGAACCGTGGCTTATTTACGTCCGCCACAATACATGTGACAATCCCGGGCATCACCACACCCAATATTTTTGGTGTACTCGCCTATACATTGCCTGGGGATGCACAGGAAAAGATACATGAATATTTACTACGATTGGGTTTTAATAGTTTAACAAAAAAAAAAAAAAAAAAAAAAAAAAAAAATGGAATAACGAACTGCTAAGTATGCAATTGATCGCAGAGACTTCTTGATTTAAAGTATATAGCCTAGCTAATTGCTATTTCAGGCTTCGTGCACCTTTTCCGCCAACTGTCATTCCATTGTGCCTCATACTGACCAGCCGCCTTGAGTCATCCTTCTCGAGCTCAGAACCAATCCTCCACTGCAGTCGCCTTATTACGAAGAGAATGGTGCGATGTAGACACGTTTGCCCAGGGGCACTCCTTGTTGCCGCAGGATAGCATAGGAGGTCTGCAGATGGAAAAAACTGTTGGGAACCGAGTATCCGACGATGTAGTCCTTCGCAGAAAGCTCCTTGGTTTTGCCGGGACCGAGGCCCATCGTGATGAGTCTCGTCTCCTTGCCCTCGACAGAGTCGGGGTCCACCTTCTGGAGGGAAGCTATGGCGTCTGTGGTTTGTTTGCGGAGGCCAGCGAAAGTTGACTGGAGTTCCAAATCGACTGCTTCTTGGCCAAGCAGGCGGGCGGCGCATTTTGTTGCCGTTTCAGCAACTGACCGTACCTGAAAGTCGAGGGGTTTCATGTCTTCGTACAGCTTAGCCTGTACGTAGTCATCGACATTGAGATTCTTGGTTGCGGCGTGCTCTTCAGCGCTGGCGAGGATGGCATCGAGAGACTTGAGGGTCTTAAGGACCATGCCAACACTGGCATCGTATGTTGAAAACGGCATGTTGAGGGGGATTTGGTGGTGGGGATGGTGGGGTTGGTGGTGGGTGGTAGTGCGAGTGGTGGTAGTGGTTGGTGTTTGGAGGATATGCTGAGAGTGAGAGATGGGAACGACAAAAGGGAATTCTCTCCTGGAGCGAAGCGGCTTTTAAATGGAACAGACTCGGGCAGACGGGACACTTGAATGCGCCGGAAACGATGCTTGAGATTAAGGATAAGGAAAATGAGGGGAAGGATGCAAGTGTTTACCTTTCTCTGTATCGGATGACCACGACTAGTTAATTGACATGACTAATACACCCATGTTTGACGACTGTGACCATTCTCCAGGGTGCGCAGCATGACGTTTGAGATCTGCTAACTTCTCGTATCCTAAACTCGATTGCAAACGTATGTTGTTTGTCAAGATGGAGGCAGAAGAGGGCCTGTGGCTGCCCAAACCGCCAATTACATGGAGTGGGATTTGGTCCCAAAATAATTTTGTCCTACGGGTTTCAATTCCTCCGAGTTCTTGAATAATTGGCTGATAATCCGTCTTGTTGGATATTTTGAGGCAACTGAGTTTCAGCCCAAGCATGCCCAGTCAACTAAACGTCTATAATAATATCATTTTTTTCGAACTGTGGCGCGCGGGAGAGACGACTGATTACAAATGTAGCAATTTCAAATCAACAACTAAAAGCCAGGAATCCATAAATTCAGGGACTTCTTGACACGTTTCCAAGACGAAGGTCGTATGCGCCCATCATGCAGAGCTCATTTAGCACTCGTATTGTAGCCTTCTGCCCTGAGAGCTCTCAGGCAGACTCCGAAATCCGATCCTCGCTCAGCAACCAGTGTGTTCTTACTGCAGCCTATAGTGACAAATGTGACAAATGGGGTTTTTTTTATGTTTTCCACTGTAATTACTTAATTCCACTAACAGACACTCATTGATAGAAATTTACGGAGTATTAGAAAGCAATGCACCTTGAATTCTCTAAGTACATTTTAAAACAGTGAATTTATGTCATCGTAGGTATCATCACTAGACATCATCGCTAGATACAATTGATAGATACCATTGTCAATATATATATATATTGTGGTTTCCACACTATGGGCTGGTGGTTGCAGTGTATAGATAATGGATTGAGTGGTCACATCCATGGATATATATATATATATATCACTATGAGCACAACCATTTAACAAATGCTTATGTTGGCTTTTCACTATGGATAATCTATGATTATAGTGCTATCTTATCACAGTGATCACTGATGATATATATTACAGATAACATCTAACAATGCATTGCTTTCTAAAATAATCAACAAACTCTATTCAATTACAAATAGAATGAATATGATAGGTGTTGTAACACTAGTATAAAAAACCCATTTGACACATTTGTCACCATTGGCTGCTGTAGTTCTTGGTTTCTCTGAGTAATCTGTCCTAGTAAGTTAGTTCTAATGGCTGAATAGGCAAGCAATCCTTCCTGACCGCAGTTATTTCACACAGGATATCTAACGAACGACACAGGAGTGTTTGAATATCATCGCTATGTTGTGCATTCGAGGCTTCAAGTGTTTATCATCACGGAGATCACGTTGCCTCTTCGGCTATCCCCAATGTTCGGCACTTCTGGCTGGTTCTCGGCACTCAACGGCAAATCTTCCAATCGGAGATGGTGTTTGCCGCTGCCTCCGGCTTCCAATCCCGAGGCCTGGAGACATTGCAGATTTTTCCAAGCCGCTGTTCGCCATAGTGTCCAGCTTTCTTTCTTTTCGTAGCTCCAAGGGAAACATCGCGTCTTCGCAGCTCAAGAAGGGGAAAGATGCCGCTTCGAAGCTGGACAAGCATCCTTGGCGGGTTTCTCCTGTACTATGTTAACCCCATATATACCCATGATGGGCACGACTATTCTAATCATGAGAAGCGCTCCATTGACCGTAGGAAAGAGCTCCTGAAGAAATGGGACCAGGAGGTAATGATTCTTGTCCCTTCTTCCTTCTCAATTATCTCCGTTGAAACCGTGCTAATCCTAGAAGCATCTTCATCAGTGGAGTTTTTCTGGTGTTTCAACCTTCGCCCATCTGAAGCATGTAAAATGCCTCCT